TTTTTTCTACAATGGTCAGATTACACTGAACTATTACTAGTTTTAGAGGGCAGACAACAAACTAGAGCATTTCCAAAGAATCTGACATGATTAGTTGACAAAGGAGAAGACATAAGGAAGATATCCCAGTAATCTTCACCTGTTTTCACAACTATTCAAAAAAAAGAGAGAATACACACATGTTGAGGGGCTAGAACAAGGACCCTTGTATAGAAAATTCTGGGAGACAGAATTTTCTCTTTTTTATTTCTAAGGCAGCATTTTGTGAATGCAGGCAGTATTCTCACAATTCTGAAACAGGGCCGGGTATGGTGGCTCATGCCTGTAATCCTGGCACTTTGGGAAGCTGAGGCAGGTGGATTGCTTGAGGTCAAGAGTTCAAGCCCAGCCTGGCCAACATGGCAAAACCCTGTCTCTACAAAAAATACAAAAAATTTAGCCGAGTGTGGAGGCATGCACCTGTAGTCCCAGCGACTTGGGGGACTGAGGCAGGAGGATCACTTGAATCCAGGAGGTCAAAGCTGCAGTGAGCCAAGATCTCGCCACTGTACTCAAGCCTGGGGGACAGAATGAGACCCTGTCTCAAAACAAAACAACAACACAATTCAGAAACAAACAATGTCTGAAGTTTTCACCTCAAGCTCACATTTAATTGGCTTAGTGTGAACTTGTTTACAATTTGCTCTTCACACACACACAAAAAAAGGAGCTCATCTCAGGTGTAAGTTTTCTGTTTTGGTAGACATTACTTAATGTTCACCAATATGCTCTGGTTCCCCTCCTTTTTGACATGCGGGAAGATGTTTGGCCAATGAAATGTGAGCAGAAATAATGTATATAATTTCCAGGCAGAAGCATTTAAAAGCGTGATTCTCATGCTTCCTTCCCATGTGGTAGTCACTGTGGAAGCCTATATAAAGTTGAGGATGCCGTCAGATCGAAGCACTCAGGAATACTTAGCCACTACATTGAAGACAGTTGCAGTGTTCTTTGCGTGATCAAGAACTAAACTGTTTTAAAATCATAAGCCAGTGAAAGTTTTGAAGTTGTTACAGCAACATAACCTACCCTGTTCTGGCTATTTCCCTCTCCAGCATTTTACAGATAATATCCCTGGACCAGAAGTCAGGGGACATGACTTCTAATCTCTAACACTAGGTGTGACCCTGCAAAAAAGTCAGTTTTGTTTGCTAAAAGTGATTGTTTGAGTAAAAATTATTGACCATCTCTTTGAGGGAAAAAAACCCTACGATTTTAAAGTCTGTTTTAATATTTTGTATGTTCAAAGAAAATAATGTTTATAACTAAAGTATATGGTTAAAACACACCTTGCCATTTGATTTTTTAAATTTCATAAAATAAATTGCTGCCTATATTAGGACTACTATTATTTATTTTGGATCAAATCTTCTTGTGTAATATATGCATTGTTTTAGGCCTTAATATCTGCTAACAAAGTATAATCTAGGTTATCAAACACCTATTAAATCACTGCATGGCTTCATTGACTTGAAATCATTTCTATATTGGGTCTGCATGGCCAAAACGAAGTGAGGAAAAAGTAGTTTTTTGTCCCAGATTCCCCCCCAACTTATTTAATTTTTTTATTTTTATTTTTTGCTATATAAAGAATATGGCTTTTGTCCCAGAAATTGGACTATTATCAAGAAGATGCCAGAATTTTAGTTTTTCTTTCTTACCAACAGATTTATAACTTATCTTCACAATTAGAGGTTTATTTTTATTTCTAAGTTTAGTTACTCAGTAATTATTTGGGCTGAAATATAGCTCTCAGATACATAAATTACTTAAAACATTCAGTATTTGAATTGATTTGGTGTAAATCCAGTTTTCCAAGGTTTAGCTTTCCTTTAAAGCCCTACTGCCTTTAATAGAAGCTCAAATTCTTTTCAAAAATCTGATGAAATCATCTCATAAGTATGTGTAGTACGTGATCCATACAGTTTCCAGTACTGTTTGAAATTGGCTCTTTGAAAAACCAATCTGTTTCTAGTTCACATTTTATAGATGAGTCAACAATTGAACATCAATATATTTTGCTCTTTTAAACACTTTATTCTGAAATAGATTGTACTCTGTAGGTACCAAATCAGTATTTACTGAATAAAAGAATTTAGCAGAATTATTGAAGCTAGGATTCAAAGTTCTGCATTTTTAATTTAGTTTATTTCTCCTCATTACCTCTATTTAGTTTTTAAAAGTTAAGAATAATTATTTTCCAACAGGGCATTGGTGGCTCATGCCTGTAATTGCAGCACTTTGGGAAGCTGAAGTGGGCAGATTACTTGAGGATAGGAGTTTGAGACCAGCCTGGCCAACATGGTAAAACCCTGTCTCTACTAAAAATACAAAAATTAGCCTAGCATGGTGGCACATGCCTGTAATCCCAGCTTCTCGGGAGGCTAAGACATGAGAATTGCTTGAACCCAGGAGATGGAGATTGCAGTGAGCCGACATTGCACCACGGCACTCCAGCCTGGGCAACAAGCAAGACGCAAGACTCTGTCTTAAAAAAATAATAATAATTATTATTATTTTCCATATTGTAAAAGACACTTAAAATTCACTAAAATTACGTTACATTTCCATTTCCTTTAAAACAACTAAAACATATGGCAGATCACTTCTGAGTTCTAAACTCTTCTTTATCTATCTAAAATCAGTAAAATTAATTTAAATATATCTTTATTATTAAAAAAATATGAATTTTGTTTCTAGCAGGCCATGGCTTCTGGTCCTGATCCTGGCCTTGTCACTAGCTATGTGACCTCATATAAGTTACTACTGTCTTAGAGCATTCGTTTCCTTATTTCTAAAATTAGAATTGTCTAGTGTATGCTTTCTCAGTTTTCTTTTTTAACTCTGTGTTGGTTTCTGTTTGTGCATTTTTAAATATAATTATTTAATCTAGGGTTTTTCTTTGTTTTCAGGAGCATGTATAGTGGTCCATCTTCTAGAACACATTTTCATAGTCTCTTTGACTTTCTTTAATTCTAATATAACATATATATACTGGTCTGCATAGGCTAGATTGTGCTGCAATAACAGCTTCTCTAACTTCAGTGAATTAAAACAACAAAGTTTATTTCAGGCTTCTAATACCTGTCTGCTTATGATGTGTGATTTTGGATCTTTGCTCTGTGTTGTCCTCATTCTAATACTCAGGCTTTCAAAGTACCCACCTGTGGAGTTTTGCAGGTGCTACAGCAAGGTGAGAGAGAGAATAGTTGTATCATACATTGTCTTTGAAAGTTTTCAACCAGAAGTAAATACATGTCACTTTTGTCGATATGACATTGGCCAAAGCAAGTCACATGGCCACATCTAACTTCAAGCGGGCTAGAAGTGCTATCTCACAATGTGTCTTGGACATGCGAAGACACAAGAATATTTGGTGAACAGCTTTCATGACTAACCATCAGGTTTTAAATCAAATGTTGAAATCTGGTAGGAGTGTAAATTAGAACTGCATTTATGGAGGGCAGTTTGCAGACATATCAAAAGGATAGAAATATGTCTACCATTTGATGTAGCAGTTTCAGTTTTAATAAATTACTGAACAGACATGGTTCATGCATTCATAGAGCTTATTTTATGGCGTGGGAGGCATGAGGGATAGCACCAGAAATAATTAAAATGAAACAGGTTAAGTGCTATGATAGAGAAGTATGTGGGGTGATACTAAAACATATAGAAAACATTCTCATCCTCTATTTTCCAGTTGACTGATCCTGTCTTCAGCTGTGTATAATCTGCTATTAAATCTCCCTTTGTTGAATTTTAAATTTCAATTCTTAGAATTTTTTGTTTCTAAAAGAGTAATTCTTCAAATCTGCTAAGTTACTTGTCATGGTTTCCTATCTCTGAAGATGTTTTCAAGCTTGTCTTTTATGAATAAATTGTCTTCTCAAATTGTCTTATCATTTTGAGAATCTGCAAATCTTTTGGTAATGAAAATTAAAAGTTACATGGTTATAATTTATTAAAATCAGATAGTCTTCAGGGGGAAAAATGGTCCAGATTGTGTATATAGATTATAACCTTTAAAAAATTGCTCATAGTGAATATTATCAACTGATACACAGAAATTGTAAGATTTGAGTTAGGTGTATGGGATTATGATTGATTTTTAAACATTTTTGTAAACTGTCTATGTTATTTTGTCGATTCTACTTTTTTGAGCTTTGTTGAGGTATGATTGACAAAAACTATATAAAATTAAGGTGTACAGTGTGGTGATTTGATATATTTTATAAAATGATTACCACAATCAAGTTAGTTAACATTTCTATCACTTCACCTAATTTTATATATATATATATATACATATATATATATATTTGTAGTGAGAACATTTAAGATCTATTCTCTTAGCAAATGCCAAGATTATAATACAGGATTATTAACTACGGTCATCATGCTATATTTCATAGCTTTTAGAATTTAAAAAATGAGACTGGGCAACACAACTTAAAAACAAACCAAAAGTAATTATATTAATGGAGAATAATTTATTAATATAATTGGAGTTTTAAAAGATATTTACCCTTGTTTTTTTCATCAAAAAAGTTCTGATTTTCTATCACAGATCCAGTCAATATTGTTAGATGTATTACTTTTATCCTTCTTATCTTGATGATAGAAACTTTAAACCTATGTGGAACCATGATGCACAGAGTACAAAAGGAAAATTATGCAAACATACATCTCCTTTTCTTCTCATTCTTTTTTCTTTCTTATATGAGCTAGGTTCACGTCACCTCCAGAGCTGGGAACAGAGTTAGGAATGCACAGATTTTTAGCATTAGGAGGGAAGAAGAAAATAAAGAGAAACATACTAACTTTTTCTTTGAGAGTATATTTTCTGCTAGCAAATACTATGCCTCTCAAGAAGAAAACTGTACTTAATAGGACCAATGATATTTAGCCTTAAAAAATGGTTAAACTCTTCATAATACTTTTTGGAAAATGTCTTTTAGGAAGAAGAAAGGCGTATGGCATCTGTTTTAGCCAAAAAAGAGGAAGAGAAGAAGCGGGAAAGTCATAAACAATCTTTGCTTAAGGTATTTTCTCTGATATCTACGTGGATGTGTGTGCACACATAGACACACATACCCCAAAGCTGGCTAGCTAGTCTACTGGAAAAGTGGTTTCTAAACTTTGTAAGTTTTTTATTCCTATCAACAGAATGTATGCACCCCTAAAACTTTTACAAGTTATTATCTATAAATAAACCTGTACTTAAGAAATACAGTATGATATACATTATAAAATAAATGCAAAAGCTAGTTTTAAAAGGAAGAGATGAAAAATAAATATAATTGAAGTTATAACGCTTTTAGTTCATACCAGTGCATCATCTTGTGTATCCCATGGCATATTCACTTCATTTTGGAATGTACTGTAATTGACTGTCATCTTTACTGATGTATTTTAATGAGCTCTGCTATTTTTTTTTAATGATAGCTTTTTAAATTTAAAAAGTTTATGATATAGAAGTGATAAAGATTTTGTGGAACTTAAGAATGCAAATTTGTTTTAAACTGGTTTTAAATGATTTAGCAGATATTAATTTCCTTAAATAAAATATTCTCTTTTAAATATTTTATACACAAAGTATAAGTAAAGACAGCTTAAAGTTTATAGTTCATAATATGTATCATGCTATGTTCTAAAATTAAGGACATCACCCTGATTATCATTACTCATTCATGTTCTATATAGATGCTTTTCTTTTTAAAATTAAAATGGCACTCAGAATTCAAAAAAAATGACTAGCCAGGCAAGGTGGTATGTACCTGAAGTTTTAACTACTTGGGAGGCTAAGACAGAGGATTGCTTGAGTCCAGGAATTAAGTGCAGCCTGAGGAAAATAAGTGAGACAAAACAAAATGTCACTAAATAGGACTCTTTAGTTATGAGGTTTACTCCTTATATTTATTTTTAGTAAGGGGAAAAGCATGGGGAATCAGGAGACCCAGGTTCTAGCCCTAACTCAAATTTGGAATCATGATACAACAGACCCTCAGCATTTGTTGAGGATTGCTCATGCAACTCTAGATATTGATCATTAAGAAAATGGGATGGACATTCTCAGCAAACTAACACAGGAACAGCAAACCAAACACTGCATGTTCTCACTCATAAGTGGGAGATGGACAATGAGAACACATGGACACAGGGAGGGGAACATCACACACCGGGGCCTGTCAGAGGGTCGGGGGGCTAGGGGACGGATAGCATTAGGAGAAATACCTAATGTAGATGATGGGTTGATGGGTGCAGCAAACCACTATGGCATGTGTATGCCTATGTAACAAACCTGCACGTTCTGCACGTGTATCCCAGAACTTAAAGTACAATTTAAAAAAAAAGAAGAATGCAAAAAAAAAAAAAAAAGAAAAAAAGAAAATGGGATGGATTGGGTACAGGAAGAGTGTATAGATACTGTCTTCTGCCTTGTTGCTTTTCATTTTCCTTGTAACCTTAGAAGTGAAGGAAAGTGAAACTGATGGCATATACTGGTGTGGTCTTGCCTGGACCATGAAAAATAGACTCAAATGGCAGAAATTGGAATTTGGCACCTTCTAAAATATTTATCACTTTAGCACAGACTTGGCCATTTATTGGCACCTAGCTATTAGAAACATAATTGTCGCTGATATCCCAAATGACTCTGTGATCTTTACACTTTACTTTGGGTACCCCCTTATGCCTTGCAGAATCTCTAGCATTCTCTAACCTTTCTTTTGCTTCTTTTTTTTTCCCCTCCACAGATGCCCAGAGCCTTTATGTGTCCTCCTGGCCAGCCGTTAATCCCCACCTGACATTAAGACAGGCTATACTTCTGTCTTAAAATATGTCTTCCCTTTTCCTGGCCCCAGTAAAATTAATCATTCTCTTAGTCAACCTGGTAATTATCTGATTTTAATAACCCAAATTAAAGAAGCTTAACTTTGGCACTAATATAGGAAAACGTTTGCATTTTCAAAGACTATCTTGTTATAAATTTGTTAACATACTCAGTGGTCTAAAGATATTTTATGCCCTTTCTCTAAGCACTGCTATATCTACCTCATTCCGAATATTTCTTTCGCCTACCCCTGCCAGCCAGAAATCCAAATGCATGAAGCCAACATGAGAACCATCATCTATTAACTCACTGCCCTGGCCTCTTTCAAAGTGGCCTTGATACTGAGTAAAAAAAAAAAAAACAGTTGCTTAGATTAAAAATTGGGTTGGCATAGTCATCAGTAAGTAACTTAAATGGAATTCCTTAAGGTAAGAAGCCTTTTTATTATAGAATAGGGAAAAATGTTTTTATTTAAAAATCGCAGATTTCTACTTGCTTTATATAAGGAGCACATGCATAGAATGTCAAAAAGTCCCCAAAGTATATACATATTAATATAACCCACTGAATTGTGCACATAAATTTGAAACACCAAAAAACCGAAAAAAAGAAAGCCAGGCCCAAAACATTTTTTTTTTTTGAGATGGGGTCTTGCTGTGTTGCCCAGGCTGGAATGCAGTTCACAGGTGTCACCATAGCACACTACAGCCTTCAACTCCTGCAAGCAGTCCTCCTGCGTTAGCCTCCAAGTAGTTGAGATTTCAAGTATGCACCACTGCGCTCCCCCAAAAAACATTTTTAAAACAGAAATAGAACTTTTAAAACTTTAGTTTTAATTAAACAAGCCATATCACTTTTTATTCCTATCTAATGTCATGCATACATGCTAAAATCTTAGATAACCAAAAATTACTCAAATATATGCAAACAGGTACAACTACAAAGAATTATTCTACGTGTACTGAAGGAGTGGCCAGAGAATCTTCCTACTAGCCTTCTCTGGCTCCAGGGCCAGCAGGTGAAGAGGGGTCAGTGTCACACTCAGCTGATTTTTCAATGCAGGATTGTAGTCTTAGTAAAGAGGAAAAGGAAAGTGTCTATTTTCAGCATTCTGATCTAATTGATAGACTGTAATTAAGTAGTATCTTTTGATAATGGAAACTTTACCAGAATAGGGATTTTTTTTCTATTAATGTATATAAGTTGAATAGAAACGTTTCAATTTAGCACCATTTCTTTCAGTAGTCTAGATCTGCTTTTTCACAACAGGGTTTCTATTAGAGGATTGAGCTCCAATGCTGTAAGTCAGTGGTTCTCAAAGTGAGGTCCATGAACTAGCAATATTAGAATACTTAGGAGCCTGGTAGAAATTCAAATTCTCAAACACTATTCCAAAAACTCTAAATCAGCAATCGTTTTAACCTCCAGGTGATTTGAGGTACCCTGAAATTTGAGAACCACTACCTTAAGGCATCCATTGCTTATAATGAATTAATTTCTTTCCTATTCATCTGGAATGATACTAGTTATCTAGAGACACTTCAACCCAGTACAATTTCTTTTAATAGCCTAGAGAATAATTTTTAAATTTCAGACATTATAATTTATTCTGAGAAACTTGGAACATTGATCAACTCCTTCCCTTCCACCCTCCAAGGTTATTTCACCTTACCAGTCTTAATCATTGAGTAGAAAAACTAAAATATCATTAGGTTTTTCTTACTATGTTAGAGGCATATAAATTTCTGTTTAAAACTTCAGGTAACATTAAGTATGTAAAAATTTCTGTGAAATTAAAATTTCAGATTTTGAATTTTTAATCTCTAGTTGGTTGTATATTTATTTTTAATAAAATTAAGTTCCTAAAGATCAATAATTGTTTGCATTTTTTTTTCCTTTAGAGTGTTAGATGATTATTGAGATTTTGGATGCAGAGAGTAAATACAGGCCTCTTGAATCTTGTTTTAGAATGTATTGGGTATCTACTTATAAGGGACATGTTCCTTTTAAAAGTATTACAAGAAGGTACAAAAAATATGCCCCTTAGATGTCGCTTCTGCTACAAAAATTGCATTATATAACTTTTGTCACAATTAACTTTTTAATAGGAGAAGAAAAGGTTAACAATTAACAACGTAGCTCGACAGTGGGACTTGCAACAACAACGAGTAGCCAATATTGCTACAAATGAAGATAGAAAAGATTCTGACTCTGCTCAGGATCCCTGTCAGATTGATGGAAGCACCCTATCTGCATTCCCAGAGGAAACAGGGTATGCAATGGTATTCTTTCAAGATACGAGCATCTTTAGATAATTGAATTTGGAGTGGGAATTAGAAATCATTTTACATATAATTATTTTAAAAGAGTTTTCTTAAGAAAACTTGCTGAAATTAGAAATTAAGATGGAAAAGTTGAAAATATAAATCTTACTACAACACTCTCTTAATACAACACCCTTCATAGGGCATTTCATATTTTTTATAGGGAAAAGTCTAGATTGCTTAATATAATCTATAATGTCTTTTGCCCACTTCATCTCTTTTATCTCATGCCATCAACCATGTTCTTCTGCTATTGCAGCATCACTGTCTTTCAGTTCAGTTACTTCCTACTTCAGAACTTTTCTTATAGGAATAGTGTTTTTCTGCCCTGACACCAACCACTTCCCTGCACTATTTCTCTGATCCCACCCTAGCTAACTTCAGCTCACCCATAGAGGTCTGAAGTTTAAACTTCACATCTTCCAAAAAAGCCTTCCCTAACTCCAAGTTGGTAGATAGTTGTTTCATGTGTGTCTTCCCCATTAGAATGTAAGCTTCATAAGGAAAGGAATCCTGCCTGATTGACTTGACTCCTGCTGTGTCCTCAGCAGCCAGCACAAAACCTTACTCTTTAACTACTCGTAGTAAACAACAGGGCATGTAATCTGAAAGTTACTCCAGCTGTGATCTATACTTCTATTCCAGTGGCTCACAACCTCTTTTCTTCTATGATACATTTATCACATGATAACATATCTCTAGGTTTATGAGCAATGCTGAGTGCATTATCTAGACTCCACATGTTTCTCTTCCTCTCAGAAAAGCATATTGGAATCAAGTAAATTCAGAGGGACATAAAGCATCTATATCTTTATAGTGCATGTATACTTTAAATATATATTTGTACAGCTGCCCCTCAGTATCCACAGGGGATTGATTCCAGGACCCCTGCAAATACCCAAATCTGCACATATTCAATTCCCTTATATAAAATGGGATAGTATTTGCATATAACCTACACTCTTCCTGCCATATACTTGAAATCATCTCTAGATTACTTAAATAGTATCTAATACAGTGCCTACACATCACTTGATTTGCATGGATTTGTTATAGTACTCGGCATGTGGCAAGTTTAACTTTTGCTTTTAGAACTTTGTGGAATTTTTTTCAGATATTTTTGATCCATTTGGTTTAATCTATGAATGCAGAACCCACTGATACTGAGGGCTGACTATACTTACATAATTTTAAAATAAAGCCTAAAAATCAAAGATAGAATATGTTTTAATTTTGTTTAATTTGATGAAGCATGTATGTCTTATTACCTTAACTAAACTCTGATTGAAACAGCTTTTAAAATTAAATATAATATAGCTTTTACTTCAGGTTTTTAGCTGGAAGTCTTTAAGCCTTTCATATGCAAAAAATATATAGTGAAGGAATTAATTTGAGTGACATGAGAATAATGTTTTGGAAATTGTCTGCAGTTAGAGTCTAATATATATTTAGGCAAATATGCTTTTTAACTTTTAGCTATAGAATTAACTTATATCAGTGTATTTCCTTCAGCTCACTTGGGATCCACATGTAGACCTCCTCAGCTCTTTCAGCTACAAAAATAAAGCAAGAATAAAAATTCTAATGAAGTGACAATTTATATAACTAATATACCACTCTTATATAGCCCTGGAGCTATATTTAATATTATTTAAATGGCAAAATATAATTTTACTTCGTTAGAACTATAACACTTTATAATGTTAAAACTTTATAGCATTGGGCTTTAGATTTATGAAATAATAAATGTCAGTTCTATTTCTAATTTCTTTTTTAAAAATTATTTTTTTCAGTTTCAAGTTTATCCAAGTAATCTGGAATTTTTTATTCTAAAATTATAGTAAGGTTCTAAAAGTCCTTCAATCCATCAAATTTTTTTTTTTTTGGAGACGGAGTCTCACTCTGTCACCCAGGCTGGAGGGCAGTGGCGTGATGTTGGCTCACGTCAACCTTCACCTCCCAGGTTCAAGCGATTCTCCTGCCTCAGCCTCCTGAGTAGCTGAGACTTTACAGGTGCCCACCACCACACCTGGCTAATTTTTGTATTTTTAATAGAGATGGGGTGTCACCATGTTGACTAGGCTGGTATTGAACTACCGACCTCAAGTGATCCTCCTGCCTCGGTTTCCCAAAGTGCTAGGATTACAAGCGTGAGCCACCGTACATGGCCTCAAACTTATTTTTATACACAGTGTTAGATAAGGGTCTAACTTGATTTTATTTCAATTGACTACTCAATTTGCTAATAGCATTTTAAAAATTAAACTATTCTTCTGGCCAGGCATGGTGGCTCATGCCTGTAATCCGAGCACTTTGGGAGGCCGAGGCGGGCGGATCACGAGGTCAGGAGATCGAGACCATCCTGACTAACACAGTGAAACCCCGTCTCTACAAAAAATACAAAAAAATTAGCCAGGCTTGGTGGCGGGCACCTGTAGTCCCAGCTACTCTGGAGGCTGAGGCTGGAGAATGGCGTGAACCCGGGAGGTGGAGCTTGCAGTGAGCCGAGATCCAGCCACTGCACTCCAGCCTGGGTGACAGAGCAAGACATCGTCTCAGAAAAAAATAAACAAAATAAATAAAAATTAAACTATTCTTTTTTCACGAGAATTCCATCTTTATCTCACGTTAAGGTTTTGTAAATATGTGCATATATTTCTGGACTACCCATTTCACTTACCTATTTTAATGCCAATACCAGACTCTTGATTATAGTAATTTTGTAGTAAGTTTTCACAACTTGTAGGGGAAATAGGTTTCCATTGTTCTTTTCAAGTTCAATTGTCACCTGTTCTTCCATATGAACTTTATTTATTTATTTATTGAGACGGGGCCTCATTCTGTTTCCCAGGCTGAAGTGCAGTGGCGTGATCTTGGCTCACTGCAACCTTCGCCTCCTGGGCTGAAGCAATCCTCCCACCTCAGCCTCCCTAATAGCTGAGACTATAGGCGCACACCACTATGTCCAGCTAAGTTTTGTAATTTTTGTAGAGGTGGAGTTTTGCCATGTTGCTCAGGCTGGTCTTGAACTCTTAGGCTCAAATGATGTGCCCGCCTTGACCTCCCAAAGTACTGGGATTACAGGCATGAGCCACTGTGCCCAGCCTCATACGAACTTTAAAATCAGTTAACCTAAATAGAAAAGAAATGGTGAGAATCTTGTTCAAATCACATTTAAGTTTACTTATTAATTTCAGAAGAATTAGCATTGTTTTAACAGTAGTGACACTTTTTTAAGAAACAGGTCTTGTTTGATATCCAGAGGGAGCTAATTGGGAAAATGTTGAAAGTCTGAAGGAAAATTCTGAGGAACTAAATGAGGTTAGAGACCATGAAATTATAGCAACTTTAGCCTGAATGGTTGAGTGAGTTTATTCCAAGAGCGCAGAGTAGCTAAGATAACAGAAGAGAAGCTAAATGTCTGATAAACAACAAAGAGACAAGGGATCAAAGGCAAGGAATAAAAAAATTCAAGTGTGATGATAAAGGAAAAGGTAGAAATGATGGGTCAGATAGTCTAGGCGAGATTTTAAGGAATTAAAAAACAGAAAGTTGGCAACAGATTGGAAGAAAATTTTGTTTCTGGGACGGGAAGTCTGATTAAAGTTGCAGATGAGGAGCATATAAAGTAAGAGCATTAAAAACGAGATAGAATAGTGGGAATTTATGGTCAAAGTAAGTTTTTGAGGTTTAATATTTTAGAGGTAGAACACATTTAAGTAATGAAATCTAAGCAATATGGAAGCCATTATTGTGGTTATCAGAGCGGATTGTTGGAAAAGAGTAGAAGTGAAGGTCACCAGTATAAAGAAGATCCATTGAAGCCATTATTGTAGATATTGAAGTTACTGATGGTAGAACAAGGTATGGTACGGTACCAGAGGCCATGCATCGTGTTCTCTTGTGACACGGCTATTCACTGTTTAAGTTTTACTAGTTTTGGCAGCTTCAGTGAATGCAGGAGTATCTTTTTTATTAAATGACTCTTTTATATGGCAAAACTATCTCTGATCAGTGGATTGCAGACTATTAACATGACTTTCATGACATTTTGAACTTTTAAAGTGGCATATGACCAAACATTTTATGACCCTCTAAAATAATTTAAAATCATAGGGTCTTTATGGTCTCAAAAACAAGCAAGCTGTTCCAAGAGAAAGAGGAAGTATCTGTTAGTGAAAATTGTTGTGCCTTATGCTTACTGCCAAGAGTTTCAGAATTTTTATTAGGAGTTCCACAAAGTCATTAGCTTTTAAGAAGGAAGCATAGAGAAAGAGTTTGGGAGAGATGGGAGAAGAGATGTAGGGGTTCAATGTAAACAGGATGTAAAGTGTAATGATGAATCATTAGGAAGGGGATCCACAATTTCTGGCAAAAGATTTACTTTCTACAAATGTATGTTTAAAGTGTCATGGAAACACTGTTACATTCTCTTAGTTTGATTCTTTTTTTTAATGACCTAAAAACTAGCAAGTTGAGTAGCCACAGAAGATATTTATACATGAAGGTAGAAAAATAAAATTTTAGGACAGATAGTATATAACTCATAGGGATTATAATGCAAAATCAGTTACTTACAACTTCTACTGGTTGTAGATTTTTCTTCAGTTTAGTTTGTAGTTATCTGATTCCTGTAAAATCTCCTAGAACTGAAATTTAGAGATATTTCTAGAAGAACTTATTATACCTTGCATTTTGTCTAAACAAGGAATTCTTAACCAGAGCATTCAGTTTGACTTTTTGAACTGTAAGTCCTTATTTTACTTGACCTCCTTACAGCATTTGACATAGTTGAAACTCCTCATTCACCTGATTTTCCTTTTATGTATGTGGCTACTCTTTTATTTTTTTTAAGTAGTATTTTACTGGCTCCCTTTCTACCACTTCTTTAAATGTATATTATGCAGTTTTTTAAATTTGTAAGATTTAGATATACTACTTGTGATAA